CACCTTGTACTGAGACACCGCATAGATTTTTTGTTCACTTGGTTTGGGTAACAATCCATCAGTAATTTTCAAAACCACCAGCTACTTCTATTGAACTGTCAGTGAGAACTACTTGTTTATTCTTTAGAATTTGTGGGAGAATCCCTCCAGCAATGCACACAACCACCCACTGCTTAGTAAACAGGTGGTTCACTTTGAGTTGCCAGGGTACTAGGTGCCAGCTAACACAGCAGAGGTGTAGGTATATGGGAGAAGCTCTTCCTTGAGCAAGGAGGAGTTGGACATCATCCTGATGACTTTATTCCTTAAGAGATGAAGTGACTGCATAGCTGATCACAGCTGAATAACTACTTTGCACTAATTGTAATGGGTAAGCTTACTTGTCTGTTTACAGAATTGTGTTGTAAGGCATCGTTTATTCATTTTCTTTCCTTTTTTGAGATGAAACCAAGCAGGGATAAAAGATGTTTAACACCAGCATGTGCTAATAAGGAGAAGGGTTAAGAGTGCACCTAGTACAGACTTCATGTTACAAATGAGAACAAGACAGTCCTCTGAACTGAAATGATTTTCCCAAGGTCAAGCAACCAGTTGGTTCACAGTTTTGTTTTGTTTGGCATCAGCTTGAACCTATATAGCAATTTAAATATATAAAACTTTAATAAATAGGTGGGTTTCCTATGTATTATGTTAAACAGAATGTTTACAGGGTTGGTGCTATGGCACAGCAAGTTAAACTCCTTCATGTAGTGTCCACAACCAATATAAACACTGGTTCGACTTCCAGCTGTGCCACATCTGATCCAGCTCCCTGCAAATGTGCTTGAGAAAGACACAGAAGATAACCTATGTCCTTGGGTCCCTGTGCCCCTGCAGGAGAGCCAGCTAAAGCTCCTGGCTCTTGGCTTTGGTCTGGCCCAACTTTGGTTGTAGCTTGGGAAAGCAGTGGAGGATAAGCCAAAACCTTGGGATTCTGCACACACGTGGGGGACCCAGAGGAACTCCTGGCTCCTGGTTTCAGATCAGCCAAGTCCTAGCCGTTGTGGCCATTTGGGGAGTAAACCAACAAACTGAAGATCTTTCCCTCTCTCTCTCCTTCTCTCTGTAATCTGCCTTTCAAAAAAACTTAATGAATAAAGAAATAAAAAGAATAGGAGAATGAAAGAGCACATGAAGAAATTTGTAAGTCTTACTGGTAATTAATTATTGGTGATGTAGTATGAATATTGCTGTTTTGTGATTATTACATAGATAATACGACAAGAGCAACTGGATAATTATAAAATATTTGATCTTTTAATTCTATGAACTCCATGTTCTTGAAAATAACAACACTTGGTGTGAAAGAAGGGGCGCACAAAATGTTGAAAAAGCTCAACTTCAAATGAAAAGTAGTAGTTCTGAATTTGAATGAGAAGTAGTAACATGAATTTCCTGGTATTTTATAAAGGGGTAGGGGTGTTTCTGTGTTGCAGGAGGTATGTGTGTGAAAAGGGACATTTGGAAACAGTGATCAATCCAGATCTTTACTAACAGCTCAAATTCTCAGCTCATGCTCCTGAAATGTTTTACAGTTAAAAAAAAAATAGAGAAAAAGCCTGATTTCATGCATTAAGTGAACATGAAACATCTAGTTATGTATGAAGTATTAAGGAAACTATAAAACTGTCAAAATCATTTCAAAGATGCTCAGAGATTCAGAAATTAACCTAAAGCCTTCCACTGGATGGAACGATTTAGGATAAAACGGGTGAGGGGAGATCCACAAGCGACAAGAAAATGCAAACTTTTTGAGGTAGAACTAAGCAACAGTATCTTCAAGATGCACTCAACAAGGAAGGGTGACATTCAGAAGAGAAACTACTTTCAGAAGAAGAAAGGGGATGCAATTAAACACATGATGGGGCTTCTAGCATCACTGGCAAACGTCAGTTGTTCAGCTGGGGTATTAACTAGTATTGTAGTAATAATAACAGTAGTAATTTGTACTTGTGTTTTATTTTGCCATGAAATTTCGAGGTCCTTTTGTAAATTTATAAAGCAAACTTTGTAGGCCTTTACATTCTCTCCTCTTGGTAATTCTATATTCAGTTGTCTAATCTGCTTAGTTTAAACACATGTAGAATCCTGAAATGGGTAAGAACCATTAGGAAAAGGCCAGCACTGTGGTGCAGTGGCTTTACCTATCCGTAAGCACTGACATCTGTAGCAGTTGGATGACTGTTTGAATCCTGGCTGCTCTTCTTCCTGCACAGCTCCCTGCCAATGCACCTGGGAAGGAAGCAAATGATAGCCTGGAGAGCTTGAGCCCTCGCCCCACACACAGAAAACCAGGACGGGATTCTTGGTGCCTGGCCAAGTCCTTGCCTGTTACAGCCACTTGGGGGATGAAACAGCAGATGAAAGACTCTCTCACCCTCCTCTCGCCCCACCATCCCTTCCTCTCTTCCTCTCCCCTTTCTGTCACTACCTTTCAAATAAATAAACAAAACTTTTTAAATGAATCATTGGGACACAACTGGAGGACATGCTGAGTGAAATGAGTCAGACACAGAAAGACAAATATCAAATGCTTTCCTTTACATGTAGGACCTAAAACATAAAGCAAAGGAAACCAAAGAAAGATGACTGTGTGGGTCTGTATGGGTGCAAATGCAGTATCAGGAAGCTTTGTTTCATACCTTTGCCAAGCCAATAGGCAAAAATATCAGACACTGTAATTTTAAATTATGATTACTTTAAAACTTACTGCCTATAAGTAAAATAATCATTTTTCCATTCAACTATTTTGTATGGCCATTGTCCTTATTCTCAAACTGGGGCTGTTTTGTTTGGTTGGTTGGTTGGTTTCCTTACTTGTTAAACTTATGTGCTGAAGTATCAGTTCTACTTACTATGAGGTAAATCTAAAACGTTAGCTCAAAACTAGGAAGAAAACAAAGAAAGGAAGAGGGAAAAAGGGCACAAAAGAGACAGCGGAGGGAGAGAGAAGACATTATGCTTTTGGAATTGTATCCACCAACTGTATTGAATTTGATAAAAAGAAAAAAAACTAGTTAAGATTAAAACAAAAAGAACCATTGTGATGTAATCAGTCAACAAATGTCGACTGCATACCTACCATATCCAAGAAACCCCTGCTCCATCGCAATCAGCTCGAACCTTTGAGACACATCCCTTTCCTGGAGTTAGATGACAACATGCACTGGCAGTTTAACCTCAGGTTTGAGTCTGCTATGTTTGGCATCTTCGTTGTTGTTGTTTGCAATGTTATTTTATGGCATAATTGAATGTTTTGAAGAAGGGAGGTTCCTAAGACACTTCCTGTCAGTACAAACCTAAGTGGTCTCTTCTATTTCTGGCCACAGTTGGCATCAAGGACACAACCCAGTGGTCTAGGGGGCTGCTTCCTGCAGGATTCAGCAATGGGGACTTGGCATGCTGACAAGCTGGTGTAACTGGCTTCGCCTGGGTGACTCATCCCAGCTAACAACCACATATGTCTGGGTATCTGGTTCTTAGAAATGACCATTTCATGAGAGTTCATAATTGGTTGAAACTCCCAGAAAAAAACTGAGTGAGAGGGGTGTTGGAAAAATTTCACCAGTCCAAGATTACAAACAATTTATTGTTTTCCACCAGATATACCAGTTCTTTTCTTTTTCTCTTCTTTTCTTTCCTTTCCTTTTTTTTTTAAGAAAAAGAGGCATAGGTTTATTTATTCGAAATGCACAGTTACAGAGAGAAAGAGAGCGAGATCCATTCTCTTGTCACTCCCCAAGTAGTCACAATGGCCAGGGCTGGGCAAAGCTTAAGCCAGGAACCAAGAGCTTCCCTGGGAACCCCTAGGCACCCAAGCCATCTTCTGCTGACTTCCCAGGCACATTAGCAGGCAGCCAGATGGGAATCAGTACAGCTGGATTTCAACCTGGCAACCATATGGAATGCCAGCATTGCAGGTCATGGCTTAACTCACTGTGCCATAATGCCAGCCCCTAAATCTAACTTCAAAATCTATAACTTAGCACACACATTTATTTCTGTTTTATAATGTAAAGGCATTGTTAGAGTTCCAAAACTACAAAATTCATTATAAGTAAAAAAAAAAAAAATCTTGTCTTGCCATTAAATAATAACAAGACAGACAATAGCAAGATAGCACTGAACACTATTCTAACCAGAACAACCATTCATTTAAGTAATCCTCACTGTAGCCTCGTTTTGTAGGACAGAGGAGTAGAAAGATTGAAAAAGCTTGTTCCAACTCACATAGCCAATAGGACTCCTGCTATGTGATCTGACATGTGGCTATAAGTGACTGATTCTGCCTCAAATTCTTAAAATTTTGGATAACCTCCTAAATGTTAAAGAAAATAATAGAATATATTTGGACACTACCTGTTTTGTCAAATTTACTTTTCAGATCACACTCTCTGGTAAGAAGCATAGCCAATCAACAATCAAAGAGCATCCTCCCTAGTTCTTAATATTTATTGGAACTATGGCGTTTTTTCCATCCCCATTGCCACTTTGCTAATTCTTTGGTCAAGTTATCCCAGTTGCTCCCTAACTGACCTTCTTACCTCAAGCCCTGCCTGAAGATAACAAAGCAGAAATTAAAAAAGGATGCCAAAGAATGTGCAGCAAATCCACTTCTAGGAACATTCAGCTTCTAGAAAGGAGATCTGCAGAGAAAGAAAAAGAGAGATGCAAACTGCAAACCCAGGTCTTCACAAATCTAGAGAAAAGTGAACATAGAGCCGATACGAAGACATTAAATGAAACCGTGTGTTTGCATACAGTGCAAGCTGCTTGATCTGTACCTAGAGATTATGGGAAGAACTGTAGTCGGGGCTTGTGTGCCCTGCTCCCTATCCTACCAGCTTCCTTGGACTCTCGTCTCTGGATCAGAGAAGCTCTGCTGACTCCAGTCACCCTTTCGTCTTGTGCTGGCTTTGTTAAGAACTGCCCTGGGCAGGGCACTGGGCAGGAAGGAGATTCCTCACATGATTCAGATTAATCCTTCTTTTCTCCCTCCCTGAAGTTGCACACTGCAGTAACAACACGGCTGAAATGCAGACAAGAGGCTCGACATGGGCAAGAAGGGCCCTGCTGCTTGGCATCCTGTGGACTGCTGAACACCTGCCTCTTCCGGGGGCCTCTTTGCCGCAACGTCTTCCAAGGGCTACAGGTAAGTGGACAGTGGGGTCAGCTAGTCTTGCTGCTGTTGCCACAAGCTGGCGAAGGGACACAGAGAAAACCTCACTTGGTACAGTTTGGCTTGTGTTTCCAGCTCTGTTGATTCTGGTTTTCAGCTTCTAGAAGGGTATCAAAGAGTTTTGATCTCTCAGATAATTTCTTAACGACAGCTCCAAAAGAATTCACAGAGCTTAAGAAGCAGGCAAGGCTCTGGTTTTTATCGCTGGAAACTCCATCATGAAAGGAAAAAAGAAAATTTTTTTTTTATCCTAGACATTCTTTCTGAAACAGTGGATGATTCTTTGTAGGCTTATGGACAACTTGGTCTCTGAAATGAGACAAGGAAATATCAGAAATCTTTATTCCCCAGAGATCTGGTTTCTACTTCAGAAAGCAGTTGAAAATCCCTCTTCAGAAATAAAGCCAACAAACAGAAGTGATTTCATGATTTCATTCTGCTACCACCGCAGCTTATTTCATTCAAGCCTCTCTTAGTGGTGGCAACCACTCATTTAAGACTTCGCAACTACATCATGTTCAGAAGTGCTTTATATGTTTTCACAGAGTTTTTAACAATGCTTCCCAGATATGCCACAGTACTGTCTCCTTAGGAAAACACTCTATGAACTTGAAAAGTGTGACTCCAGCCTTCCTCAAACCTTCACCTCCTTTTCCTTATCAGAAAATAGCACCCAGTGTGTGACTTCATCATCATCAGAATTCCCAGAAGGGTTTTTCACGAAGCAAGAACGCCTGGATGGCGGCATCGTGATCTACGTGCTGATCATCCTTTACATGTTCCTGGCTGTGTCTATTGTGTGTGACGAGTACTTCCTGCCCTCCCTGGAGATCATCAGTGAGTGTAAGTGGCTGGAAAGCTCCCCTCTGCCCTGCCAGTGCAGATATGTCTCCCTCCAAAACAGGCTAGCTACAATTGCATCCATCTCCACTGGACACAGGGTATGGATGTAGAGTATATAAGCGAGACGCCAATACTTATTATACTGCCTATCTCCTATTGGTACACCTCACTGCTTGGCTGTCAGAACTGTTTGACGATTTTCAAGTATATAACGAACATAATTGAATACTTGCCGTTTTATATTCAAAAATGTGTTTTACTGTAAGACCACTGTGTAACTTTTTAAAGAGAGTTAGTTGATAAATAGATGCAATGAAGGACCACCCTCCTTCCCCACCTTCCTAGCCTAGCATCCTACCAGGAAGTAAATTAGTACGCTTAAGAGTCGATGAATGAGTAAGCCTTGTATCCCACGAAAAGTGACTCTGAATATCAGACAAATGTTTAAACTCTTTTATTAAAACTCGAGCCATTGCACCCCTGAGCACTCTGCTTCCAGCAGTGTGCATTTCCCAGAATGCTGCACCTTGGTCTTCACTGGTGAGTAAGCCCCTGTCTGGTTGAGACTGTTCAAAGCCATGTCGAAGCCTAAGGCTAGAGTTTCCTACTGTACTTTCCCAAGACAACCCAGAATTCTTAGCATCAGCAACCCCACTGAATATGCAGATGCTCCAACACACACATGCACACACACACACACACACTCAGCTGTGTGTTACTACCGTAACTTCACAAAGACAAAGCACGAACGGAAACTATCTTTTTCTAGTGGCCCTTTCCCGCTTTTTGTTCACTGCAGTACTGCAATATTCTTAGGACTTAGAATAATGGCTTGCAATTGTGAAGTTACTCAACATCTAGTTGCTTAAAAAGGTTCTATGGAGCAGGTCAGTGTTTATTTATTGCAAGTATTTCTGGTTAAGTCGATACGATTATTTATTCTGTTATACAGCTGCTACTGTCTTCTTTAATGTAGATTGGATTGTTACTTTATTTTTCTTAAATTAGTGAACTACAAGAAAAAAATTAAGATCACTTATATGCTCACCATTCAGAGATCCCCAATTACTATTCTGTGTGGTTCCTTTCAGTTCTCTAAAGCTTGCAATATGTAGTTTAGGATGTTCTTTCTGCATATAACATTGTACACATTTTCTCATGTTATTAGTATTGAAAAATGCGATTTTTATGGTAGAATAAAATGTGTGGTTCTTTAAATAATTTGAACATCTAATATTATTTTTATACCTGGTAGATATTTGGCAAAAACATAATTTTCAAAACCGTGAATCACATCAAACTATCATTTCACCTGAAGCTGTGCACACTCATCATTGCTGATGAGCCTTACGGCATAAATTGACCAAAAGGCACCCCTAAGGATATATCAACTTGCATCTCCACAACGTATTGTGGCTTCCATTCCGAAAAACTCTGAACAATGTCACTTTCAACATTCATTGATCTAATATGCAGTTTCATTTTGTAAACTTTGTATTTATGTTATTATTCATAGGGTGAGCATTTTATGTTTATCAAAGTTTTAGTACTTTTCTTGTACATGGGCCTTGTCATTTTCTTAGATATTTTTGAGACTTTTCAAATATGTGTAACGGTATTAACCCCTTTTATTCTTTAATTTTGTGTCAGTTGCCGTTTCATGGCTTATTGTTCCCTTGGTGAGTGTATGTGTGTGTGTCTCACATTGAAGCTAGATATTTTAAAATGCCTTTATAAACCTCTCCCAACATGATTCATGTTGCTTGTTTTCTTCCAGCACTTTCTTTTACATTTGTTTATTCTAATAAGAATTTGGCTTGTTATAGCCTTGATGCTATTTTATCCCAAAGTTGATCAGTATTCTTATTTAAAGTTCAAATATATGTATATGTTTCTATAGAACAGAGGTCTTACTAATGAGTTCATTCTCATAGCAATACTACATGTTTAACTAGAAAATGTGAAAATGAAGAGCATCCAGCCAAGAAAACTAAGAAATTAAAGTTTTAAGATGACATGTCAGTCTCCAATGATTCCACTGCACAAAAGCACAACTGAAAGAATAAACCTATCAAATTTGTAGTGGGAATGGTGAAAAAAAGTTAAAAACATGCCCAGCCTTGCAGAAGAAAATATTACATAAAAATTTAGACTACAGTTTAGAAATAATCTTCACTGGTTTTCCTAGCGTTATGTGTACAATAATGACTTCCCCTGCCACTACTAGAATTGCTATGAAATACCATCAGCAAACAGCACTTTTTGCTTCACTCTCCCTTGAAATACAACACAGTAGCTGTTAGGGATGTGTGACTGATGGATGCCCCGCCACTGTCAAATCTTCTTTGGCTATTAAGAATTGATCCCTCTGTCCTGAGTCTACAAAACATTGGCAACATTTATGAGATAGAAATAGTGCTAGCTCATTTTTAAATGCCTATATATTAATTCTACCAGTTCTCCTTTCAAGGTCTAGCATGGTCTTCATTTAAGTTATGACATCAGCAATAAAAAAACAATTCCCCTGCAATTTGTTTACATCCTTCGAAACTGGCTTAGAGAGCGCCTGCAAATGCATTGTATCTTCCCATAGACCCTTGATGAACCTTGAATTGTAACGGTTCTACTCATTTTGTCAGTTAGCATCGACTACATTAATCTTTAAAACAGTTTACTTCAGTGTTATTTGTTCACTTATTAACTATTTATAATGAAATGAATATATAACACCAAGCATGATACTAATATGTATATGTGAAAAAAGAAAAAGAGATATTATGGTTTCAATTAATCTTCACAAAAACCCATTAACATAGGAAATAATACATTGGTTTTACTGATGATAACTGCCCAGGATAGGTAATTTCTCAAGACCACACAGTCAGTGCAAGGTAGATGTCTTGGCTCTCTGAAAGCAAACCTGAAGAATAATTTCACTTTCAATGCTTTTTTTTTAAACTTTTACACATGCTTATTGGAGAGTGTCTGCCATATGATGTTGTTTCAGAAGACCTGTTCTAATTGAGTGGACAAGGAGTTTTCCTACTAATTACACCATTTTTTTTGAATGGCAAAGAAGTAAGCAGGGAGACAAGAAAGGCACTGTGATACATACACAGAGCTTTGCCACCTCCTGGATCACTCTCCAAATGTGCCCACACACCAGGGATGGTGAGAAGCAGCCGGGATCCTGGGACTTCGTGCAGATCTCCCTCACTAGTGGTAGGGAATCAGGTACCAGAGCCACGCCCTGATGCCTCTCAGTGTGCATTCATGGGAGGTTGGAATGTCTGAGACCCAAGGACTCAGACAATAGGATGCTGGCACCCCAAGTTGTGCCTTAACCACTACGCCAAATGCCCACCTTCCATCAAAATTGTTGTCTCGAATATCCATCTTCGCAAAGAAGATTGCACTGAATTGTTTATCAAAAATCAGCTTAGAATTTTGGCAACCTTTGGGGGTTTGTGCTTGTTTCAGAAACAGAGGGTATTAGGCAGGTAAAATAAGAGAGGAATCCAAAGGACAGGAAAAGAAGAGTGACTCAGCGGCTTGCGGCCATTTGTGCATGCCTGAATCATGAGCTTTTTGTGAGATCCAGCTGTAGTTTGTGAAGTTAGCCACACTGCCTCCTAGCTCTCCCTGTGGCTTGAGATTCTTCCCCCTTCTCTGTATCTCTGTAATGTTAGGCTTGCTGAACAGTCCACACAGTGCTGAGAACCCCCAGGGTCCCCGGGGGTGGGGAGCATACACTGCCATTAGCTGCTTTGGGTCTCATTTTACTGCAATGAGTTTGTTTAGAGTCTGGTCGAGATGCTTAACTTCTCTGCACATCTCAGCTGGGAAGCAGGACAATTGTAATCCTTAGTTCATAGATTGGTGTGCCAAAAACATAAAGAAAAACATAAAGAAATACAATGAATTGATCGCACAAGTTCCTTACCCGTAGGAAACTTGCACTGAATGTTTATCATTACATATAACAAAGGTTAGAAATCCTTCACTCAGGAAAGATCAAAGTGGAGAAGGTAAAAGATCAAAGTCGATATTAACAAGTGAGAAGCAAATGCCAACTCTGCTGTGTATTTGCTAGAGCTTGAAAATCAAGTTTATGGTAAATAAAATGCGATTTCTATTACAGAAAGTAGGAAGTAAACTCGGGAAACCCATTCTTACTGTATCTAATAATCCATTTGGCAACTTAAACTGTACCTTTAAATATGTCTGTAATATTGTTTAAAATTGGTTTCATTTCTTTTTTGAAGATTTATTTGGAAGGCAGAGTTACAGACAGAGGAGGGGAAACCAAGAGAGAGGGCTTACGTACATTTTTGTTTCACTCTCCAACTGGGTTTACTGGCCAGGGCAGATCCAGGCACAAACCAGAAGCCTGGAGCTGCATCAAGGTCTTTCAAGGGCTGACAAAATGCTGCTTTTCTCAGGCACATTGGCCGGGCACAGGATCAGAAGTTAAAGTAGAGGGGACTCCAGCTGTTTCTCCGCTGGGGTCCAGCACTGCGCCCCAGCTGCTCCTTAATCGGCTGCTCCACAGGGCGAGCCCTTGGTTTATTTCCTCTATGTCTGCACCTATGCCTTTTTATTCCATCCTTACCAATTTTTATAGTTTAATATAGTCCTCCAAGTCACATTTAATGTAAAAAAATACATACAAGTAAATACGATGTATTTGCATAAAGCCCAAATACGACTATTACCTTTTGTCTATATAAGCAGTTATCCTTCTGGAATTTAACAGTGGTTTCAGAGATACCGAACTGTGAACTACAGAAGCATTTTTGACTTTTGTTTTTCAAGTTATTTACATGGAAAACTCTAGGAATCCCTTCCAGCTGGTCACTTGGTACAGCCCAAATTCCACAACAAGCTAGCTAGGAAACATTACTTTTTAAGTGTGAAGCAATATATTATTCAGTTCAATCAGAAATTCTAATTGAGTTTCAACATGTCTTAAGTAAAAACTATCTCAATATCATTTGAGA